CCTGTCTGTCCAACTGTCTCAGGTTATCAGGCTTATGCAGCAAATATTTTTACCTGAAGAATCATCTCACTGCCCTTTCTTCCTTCCTTCCTTTCTTTCTCTCATTCTGTCTGTCTCTCTCTTTCTTTCTGTCTGTTTGCCTTGGAGCTAGAGAGACAGCTCAGCACTTAATAGTACTCTCGGCTCTACCAGGGGACCCCAGTTCATTTTCCCACCCCAGCCCCAGGGGATTCAACACCCTCTTCTGGCCTCTGAGGCATCTGCATGCATGTGGCACACACACACACACACACACACACACACACACACTAAATAAGGCATCTTTTAAAAAATAAATAAAACAAGGGTTTGCTATGTATGCCAGGCTGACTTTGAACCCCCAGTCTTCTTGCCTCAGCCTCCTAAGTGCTGGGGCTACAGAGTTTGCCACCAAGTCTACCACATCCACCATGCCCACCACACTAATACTGATTAATAAAAACTATTAAGGTTATTCTATTGACATTAAGAGTTTCTCTCCCTTATATTCTCTATTGTTAGAGTGTCTGTAGAATATCAATTTGCATGTGTTAATTTTATACAGTACAGAGTTATTGTTTAGGTAACTCTCATTATTCATTCTCAGTGGTATTTCAATAATACTGCCACTACTTGAAAAGAAGACAAAATGACAGTTTTTCTTTTGTCTTTCAAACTTTTAATGGTTTGTCCTAGGCTGGCCTGAGACTCATTATCCTCCTGCTTCAGTCATCAGAAACTCCAGCATGTGTCTCCATGCTCAACTGGGAATTAATATTTTAGAGGAGGTAGGACCTCTGGAGAATGTGTTGTGAGCTTCCTCACCAAATGCTCTGCTGGAATAAGGGACACAGTCCAGGGAATTCAAGCTTGGCACTGTTACCCTGTGTGTGAGTGAAGATGCCTCTCTCACCCAAAGCTGCCCTGCACCCTCTCTGTTCTCTGAGTCCAGTCTCTGATGCTCCTCAGTGCTGGATCACCAAGGTGTCTGTGTGGTCCCCCTTCCCAGAGAGCAATACACTTCTTAGGACTGTCCTCCTCCACTGTGTCACCAGTTCCTGGGAGTCGGGAAGGTTTCTAAGGATGTGCACTGGGCTGAATCAGGATGGATCTGGGACATGGGCTTGGTGATGGCAGTGGGGACAGAGGCAGGACTCTGCGGGTCTCCTGCTGGTGGGATATGGGTAAGGGAGATAGAATTTCAGAGAAGTCATTGCCAAGAGTGGTGTCCATGCACTGAGACCAAGATGACAAGTGAAGGGGAATGCAGATGAGGGATCCAGTAGGCTGGAGGCCACAGTGATCTAAGCCATTGCCTTGAGTGAAGGAGTGGACCCACTTAGTGGCAGGCAGGAGGAAGAGGGCTGAGAATCCAGCCACAGTCAGCAGGACCAATCAGCATTTCCATGTCCCCGGTGCTGCTAGGTACTAACCCTTTGGATCCTTTGGTTTGGGAGCAATCAGCATCTGAAGATAGCACCATGCACCAAAAACACCAAAGAAAGCCTTGGGAGTTGGGGTGCACCTTACCCAAGTCAGGGGAATGTGTGTCGAAGTTATTTTTCTTTCCTTTTTATGTGGGAGGGAGGGGTGTCGAGGTTCCTCTGTGTAGCCTTGGCTGTCCTGGAACTTACTCTGTAGGCTGGCCTTGAACTCAGAAATCTACCTGTCTCTGCTGCTTGAGTGCTGGGATTAAAGGTGCGAGCCGCCATTGCTGGCAAAAGATCTTTAAGCTTAAAATGAAGCTTCCAGTCACCTTGAGAGCCTGATCCTTTCCCCTGGTGAATGACTCCTTTCTCCCCTGTGCTAACTGGCTGAGAGGCTTCCAATGGGTGCCAAGTCCCCCTGTGCCCAGAAGGACTCCTGCTTCCATTTTTCAGAAGAAAGGCTGAGGCCCAGGAGGCGAGCTCCTGGGCAAAGCCAACTCCACAGGCCCGAAGCACTGTATTGATACAGGATTCAACCCTCTAATTGATGGTGCATTGGACCATGACTCTCAGTCGCAGTGGTCCAGAGAATTGGAACATTCTGATGCAGCCGGTTAGCCAGGTCAGAGAAAGGCCTCAGTGCTGTGAGGGTGCTCAGAAAATATTTGTCAATAGTCAAAACTCTGGTCATTGCTGGTATTGTAAGTTCCTTCCTGAGTGGGCAGGGTGAGGGGAGCGGGGTGCATGCAAGCTGATGTGGGCCCTGACAAGGGCAGTCATTTTGGTAGCTGTCAGGGCAGAGCTCAGAGAGGGCCCTGGGTCATTGCTGGAAGCCCTAGCTGAGTTCAGCTTTCCTCAGAATCTATTCCAATCATCATGGACTTCCCCAGGACAGAAAAGCCTCATCCGGGTCCGCCATTGTTTCTTTGCTGGAGTTTGGGTCTCTGGCTGATATCTGTCATTCAAACCTTCCCTAGAACCTCGGAAACACTTTATTGTGTTCCATGCATGTAACACATGTTTCGGTTCTCTTGATCTCCAAATCTGGAAAAAACACTGCAGGCAAGGTGCCCTGAAGTGATGTCTGCTCTGCATATTAAATCTCTAATTAGGCTTTGCATGCTTAGGCAGATCACTCCACCTCTCTGAGCTTGCCAGCCGCTCCCCCACCCGCTTTCATAAATGTAGCTTGTTATAGAGCAGATCATTTCACAGTGCTCTTTACTCTGGGGATGACAGACACCCTCCATTTGTCTTAGTTTGAAAGATCTTGAAGTAAAGATATAATTCTTATTTCATCATTTTCTCTCTACCAGTGCCTAAAATACTCTAAAAATAACAGCATTGAGGCTTGCAAGATAACTCACTGGATAAAAGTGCTTGTGGGCGAGTCAGGTGACCTGAGTAGAGTCCCAGGGGCCTGCATGATAGAAGAAGAGGGCCAAGTCCCAAAAGTTGTCCTTTGTTCTTAAGAGAATCTAGGGGGTGTGGAGGAGAGGAGTAAAGAGAGAGAGAGGGAGAGAGAGGGGTAAAGAGAGAGAGGGAGAGAGAGGAGTAAAGAGAGAGAGGGAGAGAGAGGAGTAAAGAGAGAGAGGGAGAGAGAGGAGTAAAGAGAGAGAGGGAGAGAGAGGAGTAAAGAGAGAGAGAGGGAGAGAGAGAAAAAATGGGGAAATAAAAAAACAAAAACAAAAACAAAAACAAAAATGTAACCCAAAACACTCATACTTGATCTTTATTGTGTCTAGTGCCAGGCCAAATTATTTCTGTGGATTATGTCAGTTTATTCCTCTTGTTGCTAAGGCACAGTGAGGCAATTTAAAAGATGAAGAAACCAAAGCCAAGAGAGTCTGTCCACAGTTTGTCAGTCAAGATGATCCTTTGGGGGAGCTGAGCAAGAGGGTAGGCATAGGGCCCAAGTCTCTTCTAGAACTGAGAAAGCAAGGTTTTCCATAGCCAGGCAGGAAGGGAGCTTTGGGGAGGACTGGGTATGAAGGTAGGGGGTGCTTCACATCAGTTGAGGGGCTGGGGGATGTCTCTGCCTATGCTGTTCCTGACTGCTGCTGTAAAATGTCCTTTGCTTGTGGGGTAATGTGTTCTCCTCAGAGTGTTGGGCATCAATTGGCATCCAGTGGGCAGAGGCCAAGATGTCACTGAGTGTTCTGTGGGCACAGAAGAGTTGTCCAGACTGAGGTGTCAGGTTGAGAAGTCTTAGACCAAGACTGTCATGGCTCTGGCCTGGGTTCCTGTTTGACCCTTCTCTTCTGAAATGAACTGGCTTCCTACTTTATAAAACAGGGCACAGAGGCCCCAGGGGCCCGGCTTCATACAGAGCTCTTGCTGGAGGTAGCAAAAGGCCATGCTGCTGGTTTCCTCTTGTCCTGTGGACTTAGGAGAATTGAAGGGAGAGGGAATTCGGAGTCAGGATGCCAGGCTTGAGTCCCAGCGCTGCTGGAAGCACATGGTTAGGTACTGTCGAGCTCTGGTTTATTCCCAGAAAATACAACAATGCCACTTCCACATCCTAGTAACAACTGACATGGTACTATCCAGTGCTCCAAGGAAAGAGCATTCAGCCAAAGATGGGACAAGAAGCTTGGCTCCAAGTTCAACTCCCTGAATTTCCAGAAGGGGAAAAAGTGAGGGAAGGGTGACCTGGATCCTGACAGACCAAGGGAATATTTCTTTATCCTTTACAAGAGGATAAACTCAGAAGTATCACATGAAACCCCTATTCTGGGACAGTGGTAAGGCAGGTTCCCTGGAGCAGGAAGGCTCGAAGCCCTGAGTCCACCCATAGCATGAGTTCCTTACATATTTATTAGTGTGTGTATATGGCATAACATCTACATGGATGTCAGAGGACTGTGTGTGTGTGTGTGTGTGTGTGTGCCACACATCCATATGGAAGTCAGAGGATCACTTTGCAGAGCCGTTTCTCTCCTTTCACCGAGTCCCAGGGATTAAATGCAGGTATCATTAGGTGTTGTGGCAACCCTTTATGCAGGCCTGTGGGATCCCAGACAAGTCACAGCTACCTTTACCTGATACCCAGAGGCAGGGCTGTGGAGACAGCTCAACCAGTGCAGTGCTCACAGGACTTTCGTTCAGTCCTCAGGACCCATATAAAACAAGCCAGGCATGGTAACGTGTGCTTGCCACTGTGGTGTGCACTCACCATGTCAGCATTGCAGGGGTGGGGTGAATTCTGGGAATTGCTGGCCAGTCAGTCTAGCCTTCTTGCCGAGTTCTCAACCAATGAGAGATCCTGTCTCAAAAACCAAGGTAGACAGTGTTTGAGGAACAGCAGATTTCCTCTGATTTCAACACATGTGCACAACCACACACACAAACTCACATGCATGCACACACAAATTAAATGAAAATGAAGAGCCCAGAAGCCAGGGGTGGGGTGTGCCTCCAGGATTATAATCAGATGACAGGGAACAGGGTCTCTGGGGCCCTAGCATCAAGTGTTCCTCCAGAACTCCAGAACAACATCTCCTGGGTGTTCAAGAATCGCGTTCCTCATGAAATTGAGACATTCTCACAGCCACAAAGGTTTTGTGCTTGGTGCTTTATTTCCCAACAGTGAAGCAAGCTAGAGGCCCCAGCTTAGCGCCATGCAGGCTATTCTGCTGCCTGGCCTCCCTCCCTCCCCTGGGCACACTCTCACTGCTACCGGCTTTGCTACCTTCAGTGGGTGCCCATAAGTCATTGGAACTCCTGGTTTCCTGGTTTCTTGGATGTCACTCCAGACATCTGAGTTGTCTGAGACCCTTGGCAAAGCAGAGTCAGAGCCAGCAGGCTGGCACCACGATGGTCAGATGTCACCTGAGCAGTACCGTGTCCTGCCTGGCCTCACTGGGTCTTCCCTTGGCCCTCGGAGATGACATGCTCAGGCTGGGCACGCATATACCACTCTACCCAGGAGCCATCGTAGACAGGCACATCGGGTTTGCCACAAAGGAAGGCCCCCAGGGCCACGTGGCAGGCTGTGACACCAGAGCCACAAGTGGCTACCAAGGGCTTGGACAGGTCCACATTCTTCTCCTGGAACAGGTGCCGGATCTCTTCTGGGTTCTTCTCGAGCCCCTCCTTGGTCAGGAACTCAGTGAACGGGATGTTTACTGAGCCAGGGATATGTCCAGATTCGATGCCTGCATAAAGCAACACATGAAAGGGCAGTAGGAGTGATGTCCAGTGTTGCTGGTATTTGTAGTATCAAGCCTCCCACCACAGCAGAGTGCCAAATGTGTCGCCAATGTCTGATCTTATTCTCCAACCACCAGTGCTGTGTACCCCCACTACACAGATGGCCAAACTAAGGCTAAGTAACATCCAAAGTTGATACACTCAGCTAATTGCCATTTGAATCCTGGAACTATATGCCACCAGAGCTACAGAAGATCCTGGGTTTCCTGACCTTGAACCTTGGGGGCAGCAAAGCCATGCACAAGACCTCTGTCCAGTTATGATTTGGGGCACCTGGAGGCTTAGAGGTGGTGTACATGGCAGACAGGCAATAACCAGATAGTAGGTAGTGTGACCAAAAAAAAAAAAAAAAAAAAAAAAAAAAAGCCCTGGGTCTATGGCATTCAGCTGACATGGCTGAATGTTTGCTTTGTGCCTGGACCCCCCCCCCCAGCATTTTCTCCTTTAGTGCCACCCCAAGTCTATGGGAAAGAAATGACTGTCACCCCTACCCTAAGAAAATAAGGCACAAAGAGTAGTGTGCTCTAGCTAGTGGTGGGTAGAAAGGGTGGTACCCACCCTGGGAGCCTGTGCTGCCCTGGAGCAGGCCTCAGTCAGTGCCTAGGGAGGGTGGAGCCTCCTCCCAAGATCTGCAGTGAGACTGAGAGCATGGAAGGCAGGAAGAACCCAGAAACCCTGGAATTAGGCACAAAACATCACAGCCACCAAGGCTCAGACAACAGGGAGGAATGCCTCAGTATGCCTGGAAGACTTTGGGCTCTGGTCTGGCCATAAGGGAAATCAGATTTTATTCTTAGAATTCAGTCTTGGTGCTGGGGATGTGGCTCAGCTAGTACAGTGCTCACCTAACATGCATGAAGCCTGGGTTTCACCCTCAGCACCTCAAAACCCAATTCTGGTGACACCTGTAATCCCAGCACTTGGGTAATGAATGCAGGAGGATCAGAAGTTTAAGTCATTCTAAGTTATACAGTGTGTTTGAAGCCAACCTGGGCTACATGAGACTCTGTCTCCCCCCAAATCCAAGATGAGGATCCCAGCAAAACCAGAGAAGTGTGATTAAATCGGAGTGTCACTTTACCCAGGCTCTGAAGCCCCAAGAGCTCCAATGCACATTTTGTGTCTTTCAGCCAGAAGTTACCAATGCCCCATTTCACAGGAGCTGATATGCCCATTAAAATGAAACCTCAAGGCTGGGCCATCTGGACTCTGAAATGAGGCTGTGAGAAACTTGTGCCTTGGTTTCCCTGTACAGGGAGGGACAGGTCTTTATGTGAGCTTCTGGTCCACATGGGTCTCTATCCTCAGGACAGTGGGAGGCAGCACTCTTGAGCTTAGAGAAGACTTAGGAGGTTGGTCATCCCCAATGAAGTGGGCCTGCTCAAAGTCATCCTAGGCAACCCTTCCCAAAGCCCTGCAAGGAGCAAGCTATCCAACTAGGATACAACAGGTAAATAAATCATGTCAGGGCTTCCTCATGCCTTCAGCTTTACCCAGGAAACATGCACCCTGCCCTGTTGGACAGAAAGAGAAAATTGCAGGTGTGCTTGACCAGGTCTGGGCTGTGGTGTAGAAATGGTGACACTTTAAATACAAACTAACAAGCCTTCCTGCCTGGCAGCCTGGAGTAGGCTAACTAGCCTGCTAGGTTCTCAGCATTCCCTCCCATTCACAGGTGAGTATGATGGTGGGGCACCCTAAACACCCCTGAAGGAGCCTGAGGTGGGGGCACAAGCTGATAATGTCACTCCCCACTGAGTGAGTGCAGTTCATCTGCATGTGTGAACACAGCTGGGCAATTTAGGTATATTTGCTCCATGACAGCACCCATTATGGTCCCTCCCACTTACTGCTCTCATCACACACATTCAAGGGCCACTACCCAGAGGCTAGGTAACCTGCCAGGTGCTACATAGAAAGTGCAAGCAGAGACAGGGCTCTGAACCCAAGCCTGTACCAGCAGATGCCTCGTGTTGCTCTTCCTTTGGGACTGAGTTTGGTGGCACCCTCACTAGGCTAGCCCATGGGAAATTGCTGAGTAGGTTCAAAACTGGTGGGGTATGTCCGAAGTCTCCAAGGGTTAGAGACACAGCAGTACTGCTCTGCAGGACTTCTGGTGGCAGGAGGTTCTGAAGTCACCAGATACCTCTGGGACAAAGTACTGAACTTTCAGGTTGCACTGAAGACCAGATACTTTAAAAGTACAGCAGAGAGGACATAGGAGAGCTTCCAGGGCTGTGGCTGGCTCCTGTGCCCTAGCAGGCTGGAGAGAAATGATGGGGGGATTGCTGGTTGCTTGCTGTGGTTAAGTATGCAGGGAGTCTGAATGCAGAGTGGCTCCTTCCTGAGACCTTGGACAAGGCAGCCATCCCAGGGCTATTTCCCTCACCCGCACAATGGCAATACATGCATTGCTTCATGGTTTCTGGAGAATTGGTGCCTGGACCCCCAGAACACCAAATCATATGAAATGGCATCCTGCCATGTAATCTACACATGCCCTTCTAACATTTAAGACATCTCTAGATTCTCCCCCACTCCTCTCTCTCCCTTTTAAATTTTGAGACAGGGTCTCATGTTGTAGTCCAGGGTGACCTGGATATAACTATGGAGCCCAGGCTGGTCTCAAACTCATGATTCACCTGCCTCAGCCTCCACATGCTGGGATTACAGCCAAGAGCTGCTGCACCCATCATCTCTAGATTACTTTCAATATCCATTTTATCACAGTGTTTGTAAAAACTATGTATCATTTAGGAATAATGACTGGGAAAGGAACCACACACTCTCAGTACAGACAAAAGAAAAATTATTTGCTGAAGTTGTTTAAATGCAGGGATGTGGTCTCTACAGCACTGAAGGCTGGCTGTACCTATGTCCTCAGAGTTCTGAAAGACTCACATTAGCATATAGCCCTGTCTGCTTTGTGGGGTCCCTTTCTACTTCACACAGGGCTTTTCCTGGAGAAGCCCAGGCTATAGGCAACCGGTTTGGGTCTTACCTGGGGCACCAACCACTCAGTTTGGGCAACATACCCTCTTTCCCTCTTGGAGTCTTTCAGCAATTCTGGTGGCGCTTGCAGACATCTTGGGGCTGCCTCAGGCTATTTTGTGGTGGCCCCACATAAGCACAATATTGCAGAGTTATTTGAGTTGTCAAGCTCATACAGGGCTGCCTTGGATTCTCAAGGTACTTAAGCAATCTCTGCCCAAAGTTTCAAAACCGTGAGATAGTGTTGTGGCCTCCACTATAAAAAGGAAGCAAGCTCAGGATGAGGCACCCAGAAACCAACCCTTCTGCCCTGCTCTGTGTGCTTTGAAAGACCAGCACAAGGCTAGACAGTATAGGGGCACTGTCCCCCACGCCCTGTTTCGCCATTTCCCCCACAATGTTACCATCTCGGGGTTCCGGCTCTGTGCCCCGGAACCGGCCAGCTGCGCGGGCGTCCACCACCTGGAAACGCCGGGCCTCCAGGTTCTCCAGGATGTCCTCGTGAGTCTTGATGAAGGAGGGATCTAACTGTGCGTGGAACTCCGCGGGCTCCGGGTGGCTCTTGCCAGAGCTGATTGGCAAGTTCTGGCTCAGCCAGTGGCGGAAGCCGCCATCCAGCAGTGACACTGAGCGGTGGCCAAAGGCACGGAACATCCACCAGACCCGGGGAGCAGAGTAGAGGCCCTGGTCGCTGCCATCGTAGATCACTACATGCGTGGCAGCGCCCACGCCCAGGCTTCCCGCGTAGTCGGCGAAGTGCTCGGCACTAGGCAGCATGTGGTCGTAGGGTGACATATGGTCGCTGCAATGGTCAATGTCAAAGAAGGTAGCGCCTGGGATGTGGCGCTCCTCGAACTCGCGCCGTGCGTTGCGGCCCAGCTTGGGTAGATACCAGGATGCATCTAGTAACTTCAGTGGCTGTGAGGTTCGCGGGGACTTCAGAGCCTCCGCCACCCACTGCGCAGATACCAGCGCTCGGAAAAGCTGCCCGGCGGCCATGGTCTCTGGGATGCTCGGATTGTGGACCTGCAAGATGGGGAAAATATCAGAATGGAGAGACTGGCCTGTTGTCAGGGGCTGTGGCTGGGGCATGTGTGCTAATCAGCAGAGGTGGAGCCTGAGCACCGGCAGAGCAGAGTCCAAGAATGCAGAAAGGCCTGGGGTGAAGCCAGCATCAGGCTTTATCATTCAGGGACTCACCCTGCCAGGCCTTAAATAACGCACAGCTCCAACTGACGTTATGACCATGGCACCAAGTGAGGGTGGTGTGAGCCCCTCACTCTCTACTCCTTGCCCAGCATGCAGGTGGGTAGGGTAGGGCCAGGGGCAGGCCCAAATGGCCTGTAAGTAAAGCAAATAAGGCCAAAGTTTCAGCCCTTCTCTAAGATGCAGCCCAGCTCAGCAACCAATCAAATTCACTCATTCATCGAGCAGTTCTAAGAGTCCAATAGGAGCAATAACCAGAATTCACCCTTAGCCCAGTGCCATTTAATCCTCATATATTACAACACTTGACACAGGAGCCTCTCCCAACCTGTTGGAGGAACAGCCCTTTAAGATTTTTGGTATGTCACCTTTTCCTGAAAGCCACTGAGGTTCCTAGATGTGCTTTGAGCCACCTAGTATAGCAGCTGCACCTCCTATAATACCAGTATTCAGGAGACTGAGGTAGGAGGACCAGAGTTCAGGGCCAGCCTAGTCTACATAATAAGTTCCAGACCAACCTGGGCTACTCAGCAAGACCATCTCAAAAGAGCAGAACAAAAAAGTAAAAAACACCCAATGTACTCAGTGGGGGAAGGTTTGTGTCACTGGCCTAGGCCCTGTGCTGGGGGCACTGAGGACCCTTTACTTTGGTAGGCACCAGAGCAGCTCAAGCAACCATGTGAGAGAGGAATTCTGGAGTTTAGTGTGAGCACCAGGGCCTCTACCTCAAGGGAGGTAGAGGGAGAAGATGGGAGGACTTTTAGAAGGCAGCAGAATCACATTTTGACTTAGGGATAGGAATAAGGAGGTAGACATATGCTCCAGATAAGGACTGATCCCTTAGGGACACCCATTAGCCTAGTCTCTCTGTCCCTTTTCCTGCCATCCAATTTGTGAAAACTGTCAATCAAACAGGGAGGCGGGGCCAGGTGTCCTCAGGCCTCTAAAGTCCTGATGCAACTAGATGTGTTAGTGGGGGTAGGGGTATGTGTGTACAGAGGGCAAAGAGGCCAAGGCTGGTGGGACAATCCTCTTGTGGACTACAGCAGCTCCTTTGAAGCTTCCAACTTCTCTCTCTCTCTCTCTCTCTCTCTCTCTGTGTGTGTGTGTGTGTGTGTGTGTGTGTGTGTGTGTGTGTGTTTGTGGGGGGCAGAGAACAATCTCAGAAGTCAGATGGGTCCTCAGGCATCAGTCATTTTACTTTATTTCATTCTGAGATGGGGGTCTTTCTATGGCCTGGGACTCACTTTGGCGGACTGGTCACTGAGCTCCAGGACTGTACCTGTCTTGTCTTCCCCAGTGCTGGGATTATAGGCATGTAACATGCCTTGTGCTGTTTATGTAGGCTCTGGTGCCTTGTGCTTGCAAGGCAAGCACTTAAATTGACCAGGCTATCTTCCCAGCACAATGCCTGCCCCCTCCAAGATCTCACTATATATCCTAAACTATCCTGGGACTTGAAATCAGCCCCCCTTCTGCCTCAGCTTCCAGAGTAAGGAAGACTCCAAAACTTCCTAATGAGATTTAAAGATGAATATAGAAGGGCTACCATATACCCTGTATAGTTTCTTTGGTTGATCATTTAGAACAGTGGAACGAAAAGTGTTATTTCCTCCTTTATTCTCATAAGTGGCTCTTGAATCTAAGTGGCAGAGGGTTGGACTTTAGAGGTCTGAGGACACCTGACCCTACTTCCCTGCTTGATTGACAATTTCCACAAACTGGATGGCAGAAAGAGGGACAGAGAGGCTAAGCTAATGGGTGTCCCTAAGGGGTAGAAACCAAACTAGGTTCCTTTGTGCTTGGTGGGCCAGGATCCCAGGGGAGAGTGGGTCTCTGGAGGACTGTCAGGACACATGGGATGGCCTCAGGTCATCCTAGGCTAGTGTAAGCCTGTATACTACATTCCTGGGGGGGCTGGGGAGGCTCAGGCAGTCTAGAGCATCCCCCCACCTGGACCCTCCTGGCATCTTCTCCTCCTCACTGTAAAGCTCAAGGCTCAGAGGATGCTGGGAAAATGATAAACAGTGTTTGAATATTTTCAACATGCTGTGACAGTATTTCAGGACAGGATCAATATTCAATAAAGTGGGAGGGAAGTCCAAGAGAAAAGCATCCCAGGGGAACAGAATAGCCTATTGTGGTGTTGTCCAGCCGTTTTGCAAGAAGAGCTATGCTCTATTTCCAGATATTCTGCCAATTGGCATTTACATGAATTTACAATGAAGTGGTAAAAACTGAAGCCTATAATAATTAATAAAAAAAAGAGCATAAAGCTTCAAAAACAGTCAGGTAAACCAAGGTAGCACCCACCACTGTGGGCTTCAAATCTGAAATGAATCGCTACTCCACTATGCACGCCCTGGCACCCCCTGGTTCTACCAGATTCTCAAGTTGGGAGAAGTTTCAGCCCTGCTCCACAGGGTCATTAAGGCCGCGTCACCGCAGGCGGGCCTGGTAAAAGTTGGTTTCATTTCATTCCAGGGTGTTCTGCTACTTTATCCTCTTGCTGGACACTGAATCTTCTCACCACAGCCCCTCTCGGGCCTTCCTACTTTGTCAGGAGGCACCGGGTCATCCCAAACCCCAGCCAGCCATGGCTACCTACCTGACTCTTACCCCACCCCAACCTACAGGCGGTCACAAGCAGCAGTGGACAGTCCCCCTTAAGGCAAATTAGGGGCGCCCTGGAAACTCTTCTCTCACAGACTGTGTCCCCTCCTCCACTCCCTCGTGATACCACCCACACTATGCACTCCCGAAAAGCACCTCCCTCACAGAAAAGCAAATGGGACGCGTTGGGCAGCAGATACCAGGGTTCCGAGCTCCCTTGTTCCCAGCCATGTCACCCCCTCCCCGCGCCCTCAAAGGTCCCCTCCTTCCGCCACCAACCTGCCGCCAGCCAAAGGGAGGAGACTTGGGCACGGCCCACTGCCTCGGCCACTCCGAGACGCAGCTGGAAGCACCTTCCATTCTACGGGTTGCGGGGGACGCACGCGCCATGCCGTCGGGTTATGTATTGCCCCAATGTGACCTCGAGGTTCCAATAGTCCCTATAGACGTGAGAAGCATTACATCAGGTAGGGCAAACAGAGTTCCCGTGCGAAAGCGCAGGGGCTGCTCGAAGTCCCAACTGTCTGCAAGAGAAGTCCTCCCCTATGGGAGGCGGCACAATGGTTCGGTCCAACTGGGGACACGCCCTGCTCCGGGTTTGAATCTGCCAACTTCTCGGGAACGCCAGGGCGAGTTCTTGCGCAGCTACCAGGGCGAATGGATGCATCGGGCCGCCCAGGATGCGGCCGCCAGTTGGGTCACTTGCGACCAAGGGGAGGGTACTGGTGGAGAAAGCAGGGCAGAGTGCTTAGGCCCTCTTCACCGGACTTAGGCATTCTAGAAGCCAGAGAACCCAGGCTGCAGAGATCGGAAACAGAATGGCTGGCGAATGGTCAATTCGCCCCGGAGAGGGGACTCGAAGCCCAAGGACCATCATCCCTACCTAGGACCTGTGTTCTCCCCATCTTTGCAGACAGGATCCTGAGCAGCTGCCTTAAGAGCGCTCAGAAGCTCTTTGCCACGCCCACCTGCATTCCCTGAAACCAGACTGGGCGGACGTTAGGGCAGTGGGAGGGGCAAAGCGAGTTTTCCCTAGGGAATGTGCAAACCTATCCCACAGTCACCCCAGTCAAGCTCTCGGTGTAGTTACCATTGCACGCTGGGAAAGCATAGTGGGGACAACAGCCCCGCCTCCCGGGCTCCGCCCACCGCTCTCAGTGCTTTCAGGACTTTTTCTTGGTTTCCACCGGCACCAGGTGACACACATAGCTAACACTATGGTCCATCAAGTGCTCTACCGGGCGCTGGTCTCCACCAAGTGGCTCGCGGAGTCGATTCGGTCTGGCAGCCTGGGGCCCGGCCTTCGGGTGTTGGACGCGTCTTGGTACTCTCCGGGAACCCGCCAGGCCCGCAAAGAGTACGAGGAGCGCCACGTGCCTGGTGCGTCCTTCTTTGATATAGAGGAATGCCGGGACACGGCTTCACCTTATGAGATGATGCTGCCCAGTGAGGCCCACTTTGGGGACTACGTGGGCAGTCTGGGAATCAGCAACGACACACACGTGGTGGTGTACGACGGAGACGACTTGGGCAGTTTCTATGCACCCCGAGTATGGTGGATGTTCCGTGTGTTTGGTCATCGCACTGTGTCAGTGCTTAATGGTGGCTTCCGGAACTGGCTGAAGGAAGGCCACCCGGTGACATCTGAGCCCTCACGTCCAGAGCCAGCCGTGTTCAAAGCCACACTGGACCGCTCCTTGCTCAAGACCTATGAGCAGGTCCTGGAGAACCTCCAGTCTAAAAGGTTCCAGCTGGTGGACTCCCGTGCCCAAGGACGGTACCTGGGCACAGAGCCAGAGCCGGATATCGTAGGTAGGTGTCCCTGTGGCCTTTGGGCAAGATTGTCAACAAGAGGACGAGGAATCAGAATAGCTGGGACCCTCAGCCCCTCCACGTAGACTTTTGTATTTGTGAAATGGAAGGGGACAGCCAACCTTGAAGGCTTTTGTAGCTCTGATATGTGAGGGCCCAGTGTATACTCATAGCCATGTACTAACAGGCTGCCCACATCAGTAGAGGTGACTGGTGTCCTGTCCATCCATATCCACTTCTAGGAAACAACTCTCCCACGTGCACTGGGATGGATCAAAGGGTGTCCTACCCACAAGCAATCATTTGCAGGACTGTACAGAGTTCTACAAACACATTCACACTCTCTAGATCCCGACACCTTTTCAAACATCAACAGGGACCTTCTGGGACCCCAGCTAGTGTTTTGAAAGGCAGCTCTATTCATATCTCAACAAGCAGATGAAGATCATCTGTGGAGCTGTTACAGTAGCTGCCAGATTGTGCCAGGGATGTTGATATGGTGTGAAATACCCCTAACTTACATGGGAAGATGAGCTGCCATGATATTGTTATTTGATCAGTTAAATGACAGAGCCAGGATTTGAACCCAGTACTAATTTGTTTTAAACCAGCGCTCTAAACTCATATATAAACCCATTCAGTCCTACCATCATTTTCTAGGGTTCAGGGAAGCCTCCTGTGCCAGGCATTCCCAGAGAGAGAGATGGCCCTTGAGTCCCCTCTTGTGTGTGTGTGTGTGGGGGGGGGGGGACTGCAGGAGTCTTCACAGCTTAGCAGTCACAAAAAGCCTCCGATAAGGAAATGCTGCCTTCTAGAGGCTTCTAACCAGAGGGGACTGCCAGGTCTTGCTTTTCCTGAGCAATGGACTAGTTGGTGGCCCCCAACCCCTAGGCTCTTAGTTTTTCTTAGTCCAGCAGGGCAGGACTTTACTAGGGGTAGCATTTTGCCTAACTTGTTGCAAAATGTCTCTTCCTTTTTACCAGATGATGTCTGCAACATTGTTTCTACAGTCTTAATACTAACCCTTCACTCCACTGGACAGAGGAAGGCTGAGTCACACAGGCAGGAGCAGGTGAAGGCCACACATCTAGTTGTGGGCACAGCGCCACAGTCCAACTCTCTCCAGGCCTTTGCTATCCCTGGCTGCTTAACTCTGGGAAGGTCAGAAGAGAGAGATTCATGCTCATTAGGCATTTCCCAGAGACCCAGGACAAGGAATGCCTGCAGCCCCTCTTGGTCTTGGCTGAGAGTGCTTTTTCTTTTTGAAACATATGCTGGGGGAAGGGAGAGGGAAGCTGGCTGAGGAATTTTCCCAGCAGGCTGAAAAGCAAACGGAGAAATGAGGGATAGAGGGCTCAGACAGGGATCCATTTTAGAGACTAGGCAAAACCAAGGCTTGGAGAGCAGAGAAGCCTGCCTGAGCTCCAAAGTGCCTCTTCTCTGTGTCACTTCCTACATCTTCTGATTGCCCAGGGTGCCAGGGAGCCTGGCTTCTCATTCCAGTGAGCCATTCTTATGTGGAGAATAATGAGCCCTGCTTGGTCTTACATTTCCCAGTCATAAACAAGCAGAGGTCCCCAGCCCTGCCACATGCACACAGCAAGACTGAAAAGGGATTCTTGGATGGGGAAGGCATTGAGCAAAGTCCAGGGCCATCTAGACAGGTAGGTGATGGGCCGCTTGCCCTAATCTATTAGAGGATTTGCTGGACACAAGTGCATACTGCTAAGGTCATGGTCTGCTGCCTGGGATGGGTTCAGCGAAGTTCCTGTGGGTTCGAAGTCCAGGTATAAAACATGGGGGGTGGAGAAGCCTTGACTCTGAGCGAAACAAAAAACAGGTCTTCAGAGACCCCATGTCTACTTCCTGTCTTCTGGTGTCAATCACCTTCCCCTTGGGCCTTCACACACCTTCCAGGGTCCCTAGTAAGAGTGAAGAATATAAGAATATTCAGGTGCACCTGTGTGTATCCACTGGAGAGAAAACTGTCCCTGTAAAGGAACACTAGCAAATAAGGACAGAAGTGGCCTATGTCCCTCAGATCCAGGGCTGAGTGCCCAGAGTAAGTAGGAAAACTCATGGAGAAGAGAGGGGCCTTAGAGTTCAGGGGTCTCTGGAGGCCTTGCCAATAGCAAGCTGTCATCCCTCTGCAAGCCTCAGTTTTCCTCATCTATAAAATGGGAATGCTACATTTGGGCCTGATATCACTCATTTCTCAGTTGCTTAGCCTGAGTACTTGTGCACCTGTGTTGTTGTTGTTTTTTTTTTGTTTGTTTGTTTGTTTTTTGTTTCCATCTCCCTGGTGGAGGGGTTGGTTGTGGATGAAGAGTGGGGAGGGTGTTAGTCCATGCTGAGCACTTTGATTTGTGGTCCCCTAGATAGAGTCACTTCTGGGATCCTCAGTAGCCTTGCTGAGGGCCTGGCCCCACTCCACTCAGGGCTGCAGGCACCAAAGTGAGGCTTGCCTGTGGCTGCTGTGGAGGGTGGGGTGAGAGCCATAGCAAACATGAGGGGGGCAAAGAAAGGTCCAAACAGGTTTTCCTGACCTCCAACATCCATGCCTGTCTGTGGTCTAAGGGATCTTAACATGCCTGCTGACTTTTTTCTCCTCAGCCAAAGCTGGAACACAAATTCCTAGACTTCTAGGCAGTTGAGGAACACAAGAAGTTACCTCAGTAATTCCCCTGCCTCGCTCAGCCTTCTTTTCCAGGGGAGCTCAGAGTGACAGAAAAAACAGAGGCTTTGGAGTCCCCGCTGACTTCACGTGCATTGGCTGTGTGTCCCTGAGGAAGCTATTGCTTCTCTTTAAGCCTGGGATTTCCATTAGAGCCAGGAGGAAATCTCTTCAGTTTTGTAAGGAATGAGGGAGATATCATTCTCTAAAGAACCCAATTTTGGGGTGCTGGTTGCCCGAAGCTGCCTGAACAGTGGCAGGCCCACTCTGTGAGGAAGGGAGGCCAGAAGCATATGACAGAGGTCTGCTTCTGGCTGCAAGCCCTTCCTCAGGTTGGCAGTGTTCCAGAGTTCTCTGGCTCTGCCCATGGGTTCCCTGGGCTCTCCCTCTGCACACAGGCTGTGACTTCTGTTCCTTTGAAGTCCCCAGGTAGAGGCTGGAAACATAGCTCAGTGAGCAAAGCCCTTGCCTTGGGATTGGCAGTACCTGGGTTAGATCTACTGAGCCCACCTTGAAGACCTATGCTGCTCCCAGCACTAGAGAGGCAGAGACAGGCAGATTTCTGGGGCTTACTTCATCTAGCCTGGCTAGAACAGCAAATTCCAGAGAGTGGGCCAGTGGGAATAATAGCCTAGGTGGTCCTCTCGCTTCCATGCATGGGTGCACTCTTCAAGCTGCCTCCTCCTCAACAAAAAGCAAACCAGATAGGCCCTAAGCCTTCCTGGCAGAGGTGGCCATAGCTACCTCCTGAGGCTGGAGCCAAGGTTTTCCAGCATCCCTGGCTTCATTTTTACTCGGACAAGGTCCCCTTTATAGATTCAAGAAAACAATAAAGCTGGTGTGTCATGGACAAGAAGAAAACAGCACTCAGCAAATGATCTTGCTCCCGTATGCCTGTGGGAAACTGCTGTAACCTGGCAGTTGATGTTCATAGGCCAGCGGCTCCTCACTGGAGGGTTACTCATAGCTGGTTTCAGGTCACAGCAAAAAGACATCTCTAGATGTCACCACCGTTTGCAAGCAGGGACATGTATTCTGTCAAAGGCCTGCTTATGCTAGTGAGTCTAAAATCTTCTTTGGGATGAGGGTTCCCACATTGCTGCATTGAACAACTGTGTGCCCATTGTGCTCTGGGGCTCACTGGGGCCTTTTTACCTACAGGAGGGTAGACTGAGGCCCTGAGAGTGAGCCTTTCTGTCTGTCAGATGCTGCTCAGTGCTGGGATGTGACTTGCTCATAGCAATCAAAGCCCTTTTCTCTCCTTCCCACCACGTCTACCATGGTGTCTCTGCCCCATGGTCCAAGTTTAAAAGTAGAGGGGATTTGGGGAACCTGAAGAGATGGAGGCTGCTCTGGCCTGGGCCTTAGTCTCAGTGTTGTCTGTGGAGGGGTGCAGGATGCACAAGGAAGAGAGAAATGGCTGAGCATGCAGGGACTGATAAGGCATGGGCCCTTTGGGTACTAACAGCTAGCCACTGCCCATCTATATTGTTTGCAAGTGCCCTCCCCCTTTTACTGGTTTGATGTTTTTCAAACAAGGTCTCAGTCTATAGCCTAGACTGACCTATAACTCACTATATAAACTAGACTGGCTTCAAACTATTCATCCTCCTGCCTCAGCCTCTAGCATGCAGGGACTGCAGATGCATGTTACCATTCATACCCATCACTCATGCTGGTTGTGTTCTAGAACAGACCCCAGCCTGCCCACCTCTACCTTGCCCTCGCTTAAGTTTTAGAGATGTGTGGAGGCGATGGCACAACCCTATACCTAGATGGAGCACAGCATTGGGAGTACGGCACGGGGGCAGGCATTGTTAGGTTCAATATTTGTCTTTTTGTTTGTGTTTCGAAACAGGATTTCTCTGTGTAACAGCCCTGGCTGTCCTGGAACTCGATTTGTAGACCACGTTGGCCTCAAACACACAGAGATCTGCCTGCCTTTACCTCCCGAGTGCTAGGATTAAAGGCATACACCACACCACCATGTCTGGCTCAATATTTGACTTTATGTCATTTATTCTCACCCAGGGGCATTCACTCCCCATAGAGAAACTGAGGTGCATAGAGGTGACAGGACTTAATTAATGTCACCAGTGTAGTAAGTGGCAGAGCTAGAATCTGAATACATGTTCAATACCAGGTCCCTTCTCTTTTCACAACTATGTGTCTCACAGAACACCAAGACTGGGTGTGGTCCTGGGTCTTCCTGTCTTTCATTGTGTCTTTAGGTGAGCCATTTCATGTCAATATGCCTCAGTGTTTTCACCTGTAAAATAGGTTTACAGGCAGATTTATTTAATAACCCACAAAGCTATCCAGCTTCTACTCTCCTGTAAACTGCTGTCCAGGAGGGTCCAGATAGTTTCTCACCACTTCTATGTGAGTTCATTCCATATGCTCTACCCAGTAATCCTGGGCAGCGATGGCATCCACCTTTAATCACAGAACTTGGGAGGTAGAGGCAGGCAGATCTCTGTGCATTTGAGGCCAACATGATCTACAAATAGAGTTCCAGTACAGCCAGGGCTATTACACAGAGCCCATTTCACAGGAGAAACCTGAGGTATAGAGAACAGAAGCAATTAGCAGAAGTTAGGGGGAGAATTAGGAGGGTATGCACTGAATGCAGATGTCACTTAGGGTGACTTGGGACATCCTTCCATCAAGACAATTCATGGGGCAGGAACTGCAGGCCCTTGCTCGGGCTCTTAAAGCTTGAGTATTGAAAATAAGCAAAACAGACAAGAAACTGAGTTCCCAAGAGAGCAAAGATATTATTTTTATTGGTGATGGCTCCAGGCCTTCCATTTCCCACTCCCATGTCTTCCCTAATCCATGTCCTCTATTGCTACTCAGGACTGGACTCAGGCCACATCCGTGGTTCAATCAACACACCCTTCATGAACTTCCTAACTGAAGATGGCTTTGAGAAGAGCCCAGAGGAGCTGCGTGCCATATTCCAGGACAAAAAGGTGGACCTCTCACAGCCCCTCATTGCCACATGCCGCAAGGGGGTCACTGCCTGCCATATTGCCCTGGCTGCCTACCTCTGCGGCAAGCCTGATGTGGCTGTTTATGATGGCTCGTGGTCGGAGTGGTTCCGAAGGGCACCCCCAGAGACCCGTGTGTCCCAGGGAAAGAGTGGGAAGGCCTGAGTGTGTGCAGCCTCCTCCTCTGCACACCAACTTCAGCTAGTTCCCTTCAGTGAGACCAGTGTGGCCTGCCAAGGGTTCACACCTCTTAGGCAATGAAGATTGACAGGATTTTAGAGTTGCTGTGAGTGCCTCCTTCCCACCATACTGAAATAAAGTGCCTTTTCTCAGAAGTGAGTGTCTCCTTGTACTGGGTTCTGACCCCTACCTTTGTTGACCTTTAGCGAAGATGGACATGCCGAGGACACTGTTGCTGTACTTGGTCTTGGTCAAGACAGCTGGTTGCCCTCTCTTGTATGGTGTGGCAGACTTTTCCTAAGAAGACATGACACACACATCTACCCATCCCAGAAAGGGAACCCACGACACACGAAAGCAACAATTGCACCAATGTCCAACTTGGTGAACCAAGGAGTTTTTACTGGGGTTACTCACAGGAGTGTGAGTGGGGGTTACTTAGAAGGGGTAACTCCGAATCAGCTGCATCACCAAAGCTCATCTTACCATGGATGACAGCTCACAGGGCTGCAGTCCTGGAGCCCTCTGCAGAGCTTGCAGACTGCAGCTCTGTTGCTGCGGATGCCCTCCCCCAGCAGTTCTGACTCCTTGATGTACTGCTGAGGAGGGAGCTCAGGAATCTTCCAAATTTTTATTATTCCAAATATGTGTCTTCTATTTACCTCTGGAGATCCCCACCACCACACACACCACTCCTGGAGGGAATGTTTCAATTCTGAGGAGATTGTCATACAACACTAATCAGGGATGCTCTGCCATAGCGGATGCTGGGACCTACCTCAAAGGGTGTACAAAGGTGAATGAAGAAGGCAGGGAGAGATGAAGCCAAGACTAGCCTCCTACCAAGCCCTCTCTGTAGGCCCCACTCCTGGAGATTGGGGAGGGAGAAAATAGCCTTCTCCACCTGCTCAGAATCTGGCAAAAAAAGGTGATCCTGGCCTTGACTCCCTTGCTGGCTCTGAATAGACCCTCTGGGGATTATGTGGGGGAGTAGCTCCACTAAAGGGCTCTGCAAGCCCAGCAAGTTGTAGCAGGAAGCCACCATAGGCGAGGGCTTCTTGAAGATGCAGAAGGACCATTGCTGATGCATTTTCAGTTTTCCAAAAATTAGCTTTGAGGCTGATGAGTAAAGTTCAGATCTCATCAACTGGAAATCTGGCTTTTTCCTTCCCAGTCCTTGAGAGCAAGAGGAGCCCTGGAGAGCCAGGACCATATTTGTTGGGGAGGAAGCCCAACCAGTGCTGGGGCAAGAAGGGTCCAAGAACTTCTGGGGAGGGGCTCTGAGCCATAGGCTAGGCCTCATCTCTGTCACCTTTCCCCTTCCCATGCCAGCTTACCCCTCTTGGAACCTGGAGGAACCCAAGCATCCCTGGGGACGGAAGACAAGTGGCCCTCTCCTGTTCTTCCCACCCCAACTGCTTTGTCAGCACAATTTCAAAGCAGCTCCCATAAATCTTGGAAGTGAGCAGGCCTCTTGCAGTGCGCCCTGAAAGAGGCTTTGAAAGGGCAGCTAAAACAAAGGGCTTGAGGCCACTGTGCTCAGCTAGGACCATGGTAGGGTGCATGGGCAGTGTGGAAAGGTCTGCAAGGGGAAAGAAACATGTCAGGTAGGGTTTTGCAGGTCAAGAGGAAGCCTTCAGTTTCTACTCCTGGAAGATCCTGATCAGAGGGGTGACATCATCTGGCATAGGTTTGAACAGGACCTATGGCTGTGGAGGCAAGTGAAGCCTTCAAGTGAATCTGACTCACAGAGTCTAGTGAGAGGCCTTCTGAGGTGTCTGTCTTCCTGTCCTGTGGGGCTCTCTTTGTGAATGTGTGAGTGCGTGCATGAGTGTGAGGGGGGAAGGGAGGGGAGAGAGAGAGAGAGAGAGAGAGAGAGAGAGAGAGAGAGAGAGAGAGAGAGAACTTGTTTATAGCCAACAAAGCAGGGCAAAATGGATGGGCAGCCGCTCCCAGGATGGCTCAGTATGAGACTGATGATGTCTGTTTTCGTCACAGATTTTGATGCAATGGTGTGTGGGGACTCACACAGTGAGGGGCAGAGAAAGCCAACAGGACCCTAAGCCTCTCTATCTAGTAGAACATAAAGTAGTGTCTCACCATCAGCCACGTGTGCCTACATAACTGTCCCCAAGGGAATCTTAGGATGAGCCTCATTGGCCCTGGCCAACCCCTCCCCTGTAGCCTTCCGAGATGCCGGGTAGCCATTCTTAGACCCTCTATTCCTGCAACTGTGGGCTAGTAATGCATGATAAACCAAAGGGTTTGTGGGTGGATGGGCTTTGTACCACAGTAGGATCCCTGAGGAGTGTGATGCAAGCTGCTTACACCTGTTATTCCAGCACACTGGAGGCCGAGGGCCAGCCTGGGCTTCATAACTGAAAGGAAAAAAAAATCTATTAAGTAGTGGGCCCCTAGGATGTCAGATTTACCTACCTGTCTCTGTCTCCTGGGGAGATCACATAATATGCACACCTCCACCGTGTGCCTGATGGGTGGTAGAGCTAGTGTCCACATCCATGGTTCTGCCCCTACATCACTATGTAGAAACCACAACTTTATTGAGCTCATCTGCAACCAGCCCTGTAGTTCACGGCAGAGAGGACCCTCATTGTTACACACATGCTTTAATTTTATTTCCCAGTCCCCCACTGAGAATTCCTTACTTTGAACCATGTTTATGCTCTTAAACACCTTCGTACCTCTCATGTTCTCTCTCTTAAACCAGAGAGATCCTATGCATATTTCAAGATCCAGCTCAAATGGCCCTTCCTTGAGCCCTTTCCCTAGACAGACTTGGTCATGTTGTCTACCATTCCCTTGCTCTTCCAAGAGCATCCTGTGTGCTTGGCCTGAGCCCTGTGAACCTTGCCTTGGTGGCTGTTCAAAGGACATTTCTGAAAGGATGTGTCAGAAAGTAACACATCAAAGTCTCTCCTGTGCTCTCAGCCTTAGCCCATGGTAGGGTGAGCCTATCACCCTCTGAGGTAACAAAGGCCAGTGTACAGTGTCACCATGGCAACTCCAATGAACAGTTTGGAAGTCTGCTCCTTAGTAACCCACTGGTCCCCTTGGGTATCAGTGTTACTCTGTCTGACCCTCCAGAGTGGTTCACCTGGGGAGGTGAGGCAGAGGGACCTGTGAGGGAGTTGGGGCTCTACCACCACCTAGAGTTCATTTTGCTTCTCCCCACTCAGAGCTGCTTGTGAGTACCAGGTGCCCAGGCTGCCACTGCACGTATCTTCCTCTCCTCCTTGGCCAGCACCTCTCAGGACCTTCCTTTCCAGGTCAGTGACTAGTTGTGAGCTCACCTTCTGTGTCAGCCAAGGATGGCTGCTCTGATTGGCTCTACCTATGGGGTAAGGGGTAGGTATGGGGGCATGTCAGGTCGTGATTGGGGATGGTGGACCAGCTACTATCAGAAAGCTAATCTGAAAGTACTAACTTGAACTTGACTTCAAGATAGATTCCAGGGCCCATCACATGCTAGACACTCCCTTTCCTATTTACTCTCACCTCTAATCCTACTTCCTCTCTGAACCCTGTCTTCTCCTTCATGACAGAGGGTAAGTTCAGATTCTAAACATCTCTGGATCCTTCTGAAGACACACTAATTTGCTAGTTATGCTAGTGTGTCTTTGACAATTTTCTTTTGCTATTAAAAGACACCATGACCATGGCAACTCTTATGAAGGAAAAGCATTGGGCTGGCTTACTGTTCAGAAGTTTAGTCTATTGTCATCATGGTGAGAAGCTTGACAGCATGCCAGCAGATATGTGCTGGAGCTGAGAGTTTTACATCCACATCCACAGGCAGCAGGGAGATATTGGAATCGACTTGAGCTTCTGAAATCCCAAAGCCCATCCCAGTGACATATTTTCTCCAACACCTTCTAATCCCTGTCAAGTAGAGCCACTCCCTAATGACCACACACCCAAACATAAGAGAATGGGGGGCCATTCCTACTCAAACCACCACATTCCATTCCTTGGCCCCCAAAGGCTTATAGCCAGAGCATGATGCAAAAAAATGCACTCAGTCCAACTTCAAAAGTCCCCATAGCCTATAACAGTCTCAACACAATTTGAAAGTCCTAAGTTCAAAGTCTCTTTGGAGACTCACGGCACTCCCTTAACTGTAATCCCCTGTAAAATCAAAACAAAAAAGCAGATCACATCCTTCGAAGATACAATGGCACAGGTTATACATTACCCTTCTAGAAGGGAGGAAAGGGAGCATGGTAAGTAAAGGCTGGGCCAAAGTAAGAACAAAAGCCACCCAGGCAAACTCCAAACTCTGCATTTCCATGTGTGATGTCAAGGCACTCTTCATATCTCCAACTCCGTTCTGCAACACTGTTGGGCTGTTCCCACTCCCAGTTAGCAGCTTTCCTTGGTAGGGATCCCACAGCTCTGACATCTCCAACATTTTGAGGTCTTCAAGGCAATCTAGGCTTCACATTTGCCACTTCATGAAATGGCTTTTCTGGGCTTCCATGCAGGGACACCCCTGACACATGCCTGGCCTCTGTGGTTTTCCACAGCCATGGAGGGAGATTTCTGCTACTTGCTGGGACTGGATCACGACTCACTCATTCAATTACATCTGTGTCACCTTTCTGTTTTTGATGGTTTTCTTAGCTGTCTGAGCTTGGCTGTCCTGGAATTCACTCTGTAGACCAGACTGGCCTCAAACTCAGAGATTTGCCTTTCTCTGCTTCCCAAGTGCTGGGATGAAAGGTTGTGCCATCATGCTTACCCCTACACTAATTTTCACAAGTTGGAAGCTTAGTTGGGTGGGGTCTTGCCGTGAGGTCATCACTTTCTTTATTCCATTTAGCACCAGGCTTTTCTTTTAATCTGTTTATGTCTTTGAACACAGGACTTAAGCTTCATTCCACTTCCTGATGCCTTTTTCTCCTTGATTTCTACATTATGTATTCTGCCTTGCTCAACTTGCTCCTTTTCCTTATAGAACTACATACGATTGGCCACTAATAATCATGACACACAGTCAAAACTGGACTGTTTTGAAATCTTTGCCAACAACATTAATCGAAAACACTACAACTTAGCCTCAGGCAGACTATCCAGACAAGGGCAATAAGCAGCCACATTCTTTGCCAAAATATCACAAGAACAATCTCTAGGCCAT